TCAAAAGTGTTGCGCCAGGTTTACGTTGTCGGCGTTTCTCTTTAAACCTAGTCGTTTTTTTATGGACGAGGACAGTTGAATGAATCTAAAGTTAAATGATGTCGCACCTTCGGATCGATTAGAAACGTGTGAATACATACACCGTGGCTATACGTTTCACTGCAACTGCCCACAACACAACATCTAAAAACTCTCCCTCAAAAAAAAAAAAAAAAAAATAGACAAAAAAAAAATGAAAAAACGCCGACCAAAAAATGTATATCCTTTAAAAGTATGTATACTGAATGACCAGTGTTATTACGGCTCAGGCGTATGACTTCCTCTCACATGTTGTCATTTGGTGGCGCACTTTCGGCGAGAGTCGGAAATCCGGAAACAGTCGACCGTTTCACGATAGGTGGGCGTGGCTACAATATGAGAAATATCCCAAATTTACTTGGATACGAGTAATCATTTTTAGCCAAAAAATCAATAACTACCCTTTTCAGTGGGATACATCTAAAATGGGAAACGTGAGGGTGGGCATTGCACAGGCACTTTAATCTATACAAGACAACATCAAAAAATGCCATAACATGGAACTAACCTTTGTAAATGATTTTGATTCATCATATTTATTTTCGTCAACAACCACTACATTGTTTCGGCCGTCAAACTCACCAGGCACATTGTCGTACGTTCGCTCAAGGACTGTCATTTTAGCAGATATTTCAGGCTTATAGACTATACGTTTGACATCTCCTCTTGGTCTAGGTTTCACACTTTCATTCTTACTGATGGGCTCTTCTTGATCACGTGTCATCTGATCTGTAAATATCAATACAGAACACAAGCTGTCAATATGAACGATGTATTGCAATAAATGCCTACTGGCAATATAATTAGAGCAGTTTACACGCTGCAAGGATATTTGAAATGCAAACATTGTGCACTGATTAAATCACATGAATGAATTTTGTTTTTATACTTCCTTTTAATCAAAATACCAAACAATGTCCAGTGATTCTGGTGCAAAAATTTAATTATTATTATGCATCATTAATAAATTATCTTTAAGAATAAGCAAATACAAAATCACGATTACTTCGGTTATATAAACATAATTATATAATTTTTATGTAGTATGGTATAAGAATCTCTGCAGTTTGTACCTTGCATCGGGTTTCTTTTATTGACATGGTTGAAATCTTCGTTGGCATATATATTGGACTCTGTAACCCTGGAATAATAGAAGATGTTATAAAACAAAGTATACATTGTTGAATTCTTATACAATTACGATTATCTTCAAAATTGGAGGTTAAGTCAACAATCCA